GCAGAATAGTGGAGGAGTACGAGCGCGAGTTCACTAGCCTCATTTTTCGTGTCCCCCACATGATCGCTGATGAGGAGAGAGGCCCCAGCACAAATACCCTAGCCACTACAGCTTGTTCCACCAGCCTGCGCCACATGCGGACGCCACCACCCAGAACGTTGCAATAGTACGAGAATACACCAACAACAGACCGTAGCAGTCGCCAGAAGATCCGAGAAGAGCTCAGAAGCAGAAGCAAAACCTACCCTCGTTCGTACGAGAGTTGTGTTCTGAAGAACGATTCGTTACCGAAACAGTTAACATGTGACATTTGGCGTAGACACCGTACGATCTTGTACGGACACAAGTGCAATTTGGCAATGTACCGAGATAATATTTAAGAGAGTAGGTTTCGAGGTCAAGAGTGGACCGGCAGACGATTGGGAAGAGACCCGAGTATTCTAGCTTAGGATTGAACTTAAGTCTCGAGATAAGACTATAAATGTTGTCTCGAACTAATTTCAGTTGAGTTTATGTAGTACCGATTTTCCAGTGTATAATAGTCATTATTCCAGGTGACCATGGCGGCTTGAAATAAGAGTCACTAAGTCGGGTTTACCATGGAGGCTTGAAACTGGACCATGAAAAACATAGTTCTCCATACAAGATAGCTTATGTTCTCTTTGTCCCATTTTTGTTGTATTTTTCTTTACTATTTTATCATTCTTTTTCCCCGATTTGAGTCATTTAGTTGGTTTTTAGGCCGTTTTGTCATTTATTGCTTGTTTTGCGTTATTTTGAGTGTCTTGGTGTGTTCCGTTTGCTTTCCGGTGTTTTTTGGTTTTGTTTTCGTTTTTGGTGTGCAGGTAAGAAGCTCCGAGAGGACATGTTTTCAAGAAAATATTTGATGGGTTTGCATATTTAGATAGAGGGGTTCATTAGCGACGCGTAGAAAAAGACGGAACTCAATTCTGAGTTAAAACGAACCCAAATGAACAAAAATCGTAAAGCCGCGCGCAGCAGCCGAATTTTGTTCACCGCGGGCAGCGGAGGAATCCTGCTGCGGCGGGAGCACTACTGCAGCTGAAAGTCGCGGCCGCGGAGCTTCCCGCAGCCGCGGAGGTCGCGACCAGATTTTTAAAAGCTAGGTTTTGTTCGTTTTTTCGTGTACATTGCATTGGGACTCATTCACAGACCTAATTTTTTAACTCTAAACTCGATTTTCACCCTTTTTTCTCTCTAGAAAACTTTGATTATTCATCTTGGATTGCACCATTACTCTTGGATTAAGCTTTTAATTCAAATTCAACATTGGAATTGCGATTTATTGTAAGTTATTCTCTTTACTTTTAACTCATGAATAATTGTTTAATTGAAAGAGATGATGAATTGTGTTGAATTGATATTGCTTAGCTAATTATGATTGCTAGGGATAGGGGGTGATTGTTCATGTTTAACGTGTATCTCTCGAGCTTGAATTGTTCGTTCTTATGTGCGTTGTTTTGTTGAGGAATTGATGAATTTGTATTTGATAGATTGATATAATCGAAAAGTGACATTTCGATCTTGCTATTGGTGACAATTGGATGTTAATTTGTCGAGTTAGGGTTTGTCAATTCTATATGATTAGTTGATTAATTGCCTTCTAATTGACTTAGCGGCTTTCAGAACCGAAAGGGGAGAAGTCGTAGAAATAAGCTCACATGAGGTAGATGATTTTGTAATTGAATAGTCTATAGGTTTTCGGTTGAAATACGTGCGAGTCGATGACCCGTCCCTTGTTACGAAAAGTTATTGGGATTGGGATAGTTGGCCTGTATTGTATGCTCGAGCTTGTACGTCTATGTTCCATCCCTTGTTACGAAGAGTTATTGGGAGTGAACCGCTAGATGTCTAAGGGAGAGTGTCAATCTCGAACCGAACAATTGATTGCCCGATTTTGCTAGAACTTGAATTAATTATCCTCGACTCCCTAGCTTCTTTTTCATTATTTCGTTCGTATTTCTTAGGTAGATTATTATTTTTATGTTATTTCTTAGTTGGTAATTACTCCTCCCATATTTGATTAGAATGTTTAGGAATTATTTTCTTTTTATGTGTGATTGATACCAAAACTGAATTCCGAACCGCCTTCCTCGTGAGATCGACCCGGGGAATGAATCTTTCGATTCGGTACTTGGTAAAAAATAACAATTTGTGCTACAACATGTTCGCCAGAGGGAACTGGCTCTGAATTGCGGGTACACCGCATGCAGGTGCTGCATGTTGGTATGCCACGCCCGAGGGCCCCGGGTTGTTGGTGTGCCGCATTGCGACGTGCCGCGTGCAAAGTATCGCGTAGTCATGTGCCGAAAGGTACGATATAGAACCGGGTAGAGGCCAAGTGTCCTTATACCCCTAGGTTCTGATGGAGTCCCAACGTATTTCATCAGAGCATACACATGATTTATTAGCCAAGTGTCTATAAATTTCAGATTCTGATGGAATCCCAGTGAATTCCATCCGAATATGCACACCCGGCCAAGTGTTCGGGAGTGAGCAATGGAATCATAGTGAATTCCATCCGAATGTGAACACGATACCCGGCCAAGTGATCGGGAGTGAGTAATGGAATCTCACTGAATTCCATCTGAATATACACACGATACCCGACCAAGTGTTCGGGAGTGAGCAATAGAATCTCAATGAATTCCATCCGAATGTGTACACCCGACCAAGTGTTCGGGAGTGAGCAATAGAATCCCAGTGAATTCCATCCGGATGTGCACACGATACCCGACCAAGTATTCGGGAGTGAGCAATGGAATCCTAATGAATTCCATCCGAATGTGCACACGATACCCGACCAAGTGTTCAGGAGTGAACAATGACCTGCAAGTAGGTCCTACTAGTTACATATCACCTGGTAGAGATCTCCGTCTAGCCAGCCTAACCCTAGTCAGCCTGTCGTGAGTGCAGCAGACCTTGTCTAATCGGGTAAAACTCGTTCAGCCTGACAAGGTAGACCCCATAGTAAAGAATTACAGTTCAGTTCTCCCTAAGACTAGAATCGTCGCCATAGCTCGGGCGATGCTGCTAAGAGGGAAGGATGGACTTCCTCCAAAGTTCTAAGTTCTGCCCTGGGACTTTCCAGAGGCACATAGCGAATTTTGGAGAATTGCAGTGGCATGGCCAAGATCACTAGTAGGAGGAATACTGAATTTAAAGCTAAGAATTATAGTTTTGATTTTTGACTTGTATTTTAGTTTAGCATTTCCGAGGACGGAAATTTTTTAAGGAGGATAGATTGTAACGCCCAGTATATTATTTTCATTTATGGAGCTCGACTTTATTTCCATAAATATTAAGTTTCCTAATTAGATGCATTTATTATTATTATTTGCAATAAATTGAATAATAGTATTATAGTCTAAGCCATGGAGAATTTATTCGATTTTAATCATAAAGTCGGATTTAATTAGCCCAAGTGTCAGCTATATATTTAAAACTGAGCCTTGAAATGATCAAAATTTTATTAAAGCGGACCCAAGCCGAATAATTTAATTATTTGAGCCCAATCAGTTCCGAGCGAGTCCAATTATTTTAGTCGGCTCATTCAAGTTAATCCAGCTTATGTTCGATTTTATTTTAGCCAATTTCATTTTAGTAAATCGAACACATGCCCAGTTTATAAAATCGAGCGTGATATGGGATATTATATACTAGACCGGTTCGGAGGACACTCCAAACAGAGCAGCGTATGGGTCTGGTCGAGCAGTACCAACAGGTCCATAGAAACTCTAGCACCTGGTCGAGCAGGGATGCCCCAGCAAGTACAGGCACAGACCAATCGTCTCTTGCCTCCAGAGCAGTTACACGTGAGGACACATGGACGGATCTGGTCGAAAGCCAGAATATGCTAAAGGATCTCCGTCACATGGAAGGTGGACACGCGGCGGCGTGTGAATGGGCCAAGGGATAACGAACTCTGACATTCTCTGGCGCAGCTGACGCGTTTTCTGACACCGGAGAAAGTGGAGACGCGCGACCGTACGGACGAGCAAAGGATGGAGGGCGAGACTCGCCTAATCGCGCGTGGCCAACAGGTAACTCGTCCCTATAAATAGGGACGAGGATTATCGCTTTTAGATAACTTCCGATTTTCCTAAGATTTTGATATATACCTTTATCTCTCAAGATCTGACTTGAGCGTTGGAGGCTCTTCACCGGAAAATACCTCCGGTGTGAGAGTTTTTGTGCAGGTTCAGCGTTCGACCGGTGGAGGAAGTCGTGTTTGCCGCGGTTCTCGGTCGGGCGAGCGTTAGACTTGTATTATTGGCGCCGTCTGTTGGGACTTTCTGTTCAAAAGGCTGTGTTCTAAGCTTAACCATGGCGGACGGAATTCCCCGAATGAATTTGCAGTCGTCGTTCGACGAGGCATGGACGACAACAAGGCCAATGGGAACAGGGCCTCCCCCTGGTTTCTCTGCACCCTCACAGATCCCGGTGACCCCGACACCGATATCGCATGGCGTGACGATGCCCGGCGCTGGAGAGGGCACGAGCAGGGACCAGGAGGCTCGAGGAACGACCGTGGCGACGGTTGTCGCGCCGTCGCAGGCGGGTCCAGTGGTAGCACAGCAGATTGGGCCGGCGGCGCAGACAGTGCCGTCACCAGTAGGAGAGGTACCACAACCCCCGGCTCCACAAATGGTGACCATGACCAGAGAGGAGATGCAGCGAATGATAGCCAACGCGGCGGCGCAGGCTGTGCAACAGGTTACTCACCAGACATCCCAGGCTACTACCACGCCGACCACGGTGCAGGCGACCCAGGAGGAAGATGTTTCGAGCTACGGAGGGGGAGGAGAGCCCAGAGATAGGGCAATGGAAAGAATGGCAGAGCAGCTACGACAATTGCAGGAAAGGATCGAGGGAAGATCAGACAGGTGTGCTCGAGGACACCCCTTTTCGAGGGAAATACTGGCCGCCCCGTTGCCTGTCACTTTCAAGGAGATAAGCTTGATCTTTGATGGCTCGAGCGATCCAGCGAGGCATGTTCGAGCATTTGAAAATATGTCCGTGTTGCACGGATATTCAGACCCAGTTAGTTGCAGAGCGTTCTTGTCGACCCTTCGGGGAGGTGCCCTTGATTGGTTTCATCAGTTAGCCCCCGGGTCGATCAAAGATTTCGAAGATTTTGCAGGGCAACTCACCAACCAGTACGCGAGTGCAGTCGCGCAGGAGAAGACATACCTTACTCTGATGGCAATGCGGCAGGGTGAGAAAGAATCGCTACGGAAATATGTGGCCCGGTACAATCAGATGTGCTTAGAAGTGCCCACGGCTGTCGACGAGGTGAAGGCGGGAGGATTAATCAGGAGTCTACGACCGGGACCTTGTCGGACGTCGTTGGCGAAGACGCCCGCTCGAACTTATGAGGAGGTGTTGAAGAGGTGCAAAAAATACATTAACCTGGAAGAAACGGAGGCCGAGTTTGCCAAGCTCGAAGAAGTGGCAAGGCCCGACCAAAGGAGGGGAAAGCCAAACTCACCCAGGCGGGAGTCGCCCAAGAGGAATCCTCAGAAGAGTGGTCCGTTCAGGAGATCGTCGCCCAAGAGGGATGGGCGAAATTCGTTTCAAGGAGGACGGGAAGATCGCTGGCAAGGGCGACCGCGACTACCCAATGGGCAGAGATATAACAACTTCACCCCACTTAATGCCCAGATGGGTGAGGTCCTTGTAGCCATGGAGGAAAAGCTGGATGGTAAGGAAATCACGTGGCCAGCGACAAGATTCGAGGGACCGACCAAGCCAAGGTCGGGTAGATACTGCAGATTCCATAGGGATTATGGACATAACACGGCGGACTGCAGACATCTGAAAGTCGAGATTGAACGCTTAATAAGAGCAGGACATTGGAAGGAATTTGTCATCCAGGACCGACCACGAGGAAAGGAGAAAAGGAGGTGCAGGGAGGAGTCAGTGATGAGAAATGACAGGGACGATGATAGAGAGGATGACGACAGGAGGGAGAAAAGGAGTCGAGAAAATGATCCTCGAGAGGAGCCTAGGAGGGAGCTTCCACTGAAGAGAGGCACCATTTACATGATTTCTGGGGGGCCCACAGATGGGGACTCGAACAATGCACGAAAGGGGCACGTACGAGCAGCAAAGCGAAAGAGAGAGGAAGTTGGGATAACTGGTCGAATGCCAGTGATTAGTTTTCAAGCAGAAGATGCAGAAGGGGTTTTATTGCCCCACAATGATGCGCTTGTTATCACTGCAGAAGTGGCTGGTTTTGATGTAAAGAGGGTGTTCATCGACACAGGCAGCTCGGTCGATGTCATGTTCTATGACTGCTTCGCGCAGATCAACAAACACCTGAATCTGGAGCTGAAGCCGGTGTCGACGACCCTGTATGGTTTTAACGGGGGAGAGGTAATGCCGATGGGCGAGGTGAATCTAACTGTGGCGCTAGGGTCGGGCGACACCAGGAAGGTGAGGATGGTGCGATTCGTAGTAGTGGGAGCAGAATCGTCCTACAACATTATATTAGGACGGACAGGATTGAACGCGTTCCAGGCAGTCGTGTCTACATACCACATGACGATTAAATATCCGGTGGGCGAAAATGTGGGCGAGATTGCTGGAGACCAACTTACGTCGAGGAGTTGCTATCAGACCACCGTTAGCAATAACAAGCAAATGGCGAGGAGGCAAGAGAAGAAGGGGGAGGATGGACCCGATCGACCAGGAGGGTCGAGGTCAAAGGAGGAGAAAGGATGGCAAAGCAAGGGAAAAGAGAAAATGGATATGCAACCGGGAGGCGAGGTCGAGGAGGTCCAGATGGTAGAAGGGAAGGATGATCGAAAGTTCAGAATTGGAAAAGAACTAGGCGAGCCGATCAGATCGAGATTGATCGACTTGATCAGGGAATTTTGGGATGTCTTCGCATATACAGCAGAGGAGCTAACTGGGATCGAGGCTGCGGTAATCGAGCATCGTTTGAACATCGATCTTACCGTAAAGCCGGTGAAGCAAAAGAGGAGGCATCATGGGGCGGAGATGGACAGGATAATAGAGCAAGAGGTTGAGAAGCTCTTAGATGCCGGACATATAAAAAGGATCCAATTTCCTGAATGGCTGTCAAACACGGTCATGGTATCCAAATCAGGAGGAAAGTGGAGGATGTGCATTGATTTCCGCGACCTCAACAAGGCATGCCCGAAGGATCTGTACCCATTGCCGCGAATCGACCAATTGGTAGACTCTACGGCAGGATGTGAACTCCTTAGTTTGATGGACGCCTCGCAAGGCTATCACCAGATCCCTCTGGCAAAGGACGATTGGAAGAGAGTAAGTTTTATCACGAGCAAAGGCACCTATTGTTATGTGGTGATGCCGTTTGGGCTGAAGAACGCCGGGGCAACCTATCAAAGGCTGGTCGACCAGATATTCAAAGATCAGTTGGGAAGGAACATGGAGGTGTACGTAGATGACATGTTGGTTAAGAGCAGAGAGGAGGCGGACCACACAAGTGATTTGAGACAAACTTTCCAAACACTAAGAAGGTACGGCATGAAGCTCAACCCAGCTAAATGCTCGTTTGGGGTGAAAGCAGGGAAATTTCTGGGTTATATGGTGACCAAGCGGGGAATAGAGGTAAACCCAGAGAAGGTGCGGGCCGTCATCGAGATGAAGCCGCCATCCAGCGTGAAGGAGGTTCAAATCTTAACTGGTCGAATAGCTGGCTTAAGCAGATTCATTGCCAAAGTGGCCGAGAAAAGTAGTCCTCTGTTCAAAACACTAAAGAAGAGCTCGAGATTCCAATGGACAGAGGAAGCACAGAAAGCTTTCGAAGAACTACAGGAGGTACTGGCGAATTTACCATTGCTAGCTAAACCAGTACCCGGAGAGGAGCTCATACTCTATATATCTGTGGGCGAAGGCGCAGTAAGCTCGGTGCTGTTGCGCGAGGAGGGAGCAGCTCAGTTTCCCATATATTATGTTAGCCGAGTGATGCAGGGAACGGAGTTGAAGTATTCAGAGATTGAGAAATGCGCGCTGGCGGTGATCATGACGGTCAGAAAATTGCGACCGTACTTCTTAAACCATAAGGTCAGGGTGCGGACGAACATGCCCTTAGCGCAAACATTGGGTCGGCCAGCTGTATCTGGTCGACTCGTAAAGTGGGCGGTCGAGCTGAGCGAATACTCTATAGTATACGAGCCTAGGAGGGCGATTAAGGCCCAGGTTTTGGCAGACTTTATCCGGGAGGGTACAAAGGAGGAGAACCCAGAAGGAGAGTGGCAATTGTACGCGGATGGCTCGGTGTCGAGGAGCGGGGCCGGTTTGGGGATAGTCCTGGTCTCGCCCA